GGGGGGGGGGGGGGGCGGCAGGCCACAGAGAGAGGTCTGCGGCTTAGCTGCGGGCCGTGCAGATTCAGTTCAGCCAAACCGGCCGCGAGCAGTCGTTGCCTAGTTAGCGTTGCCTAGTTAGCGCATAGACAGTCGTTGCCATAGCGCTCGTATACGTCAAGCACATGCACATGCACATGTGCATGTCGTAGCGGGTCGGAGCAGCAGCCCTTCTTCATCCAGCTTTTGATTTCTTGTCCTCCAATGCCAGAGCGTGCCTAAGGTTCAGTGTGTGTCGAGCATTGCGCGCTGCAATGCGCGCCTGTGCGCGCATGGCTAGTGCCATTTCACTCTGACACGCTAATCTTGAAAACGTCTCCAACGGAGCTCCGTGTTGCTTCCAGCGCCCTCCCCCGCGCTCCCTGCGGCCATGGCCGATGCTCCTAGGAAGAGAGGTCATCTGGCTACCGCGAGAGCGACCCAACTCGTCGACATCGTCCGATGATGGTGCCTCAAAGTCAGCCTTCGGAGGCTGTCGTGGGGTCGAGCCGGCAGTAGCCGTGACATGTGGTTCCACCACCCCTCGTAGGCTTTGCCTCTGACCGCCACCATTCCCAGGCTGCCTAATGGGATGGAAAGGAAGGCTCGGCCAGCGTATAGAAGCGTGCTCGACCTCGTCGTGGCAACCTGTACGGCAGCGCTGGTAGGCGCGATGAGCGTCGTGCCACCTGACCCGAGACGGGTCGCAGGCGTCGTGCCGAGCGCGTCGAGACCGTGTCCTGATGTGATATGTACGGGCAAGTCACGTCGGCGTCCCAAAGGAGCGACGTGCGACCTGTCAGAGCTTGCTCTCCGATCTCAGCGGTGTCGAGTCGTCTCCGGCGGCGACAATTTTGTCCCTCCCCAGGACGCGCAGAGGCAGCTGCGACCCCGCCAAGTGGACGGGGGCACTCCGCGCCACCTGCCGAGTTCCCCCGTCCACTCGGCGCGGTCACAGCTCCACCGTGAAGGCACCGAGGGGAAAAATGGCGCAAATGGTCAAATCAAGGTTTTTTAACGCGTTGCTGTGCCACAGTGAAATGGCACTAGCCCATCGCAAGATACAAGAACAAGTACTTGACTAATTCTGCAACTCCCTTGCTATTTTGAGACGCTCTTCGCGGCACGCGGGTGTACGGTTTCCACTGCGGCGCGTGCGCGGTGCGGCACACGAGATCGAGAGACGGCACACAAACTATACAATCCGCGGGTGTCGAGCACGCAATTTTTGCCACACGAAACTTCGCAGCACATATACTCCTCGCCAAACACTGGCAACCCTCACGCTAGTTTTGGGAGCGATGGCACAGCGGCCGGCGGCGGCGGTGGCAGGACGGCGGGGGCGCGGCGGCAGCTGATGAGGTCGGTGGCGGCGGGCGCGATCAGCCCGATGCGCTCGGTCGAGCGGATGCACGCGAGGTAGTGCACCTCGCCGCCCGCCTCTGGCGGGCGGATGGTGTCGTCGGACGAGCGCGGGTTGTGGCTCACCACGCCGACGACGTGCAGCGAGGGCGTGAGCGCCGGCCCGCCGCTGGAGCCAGCGTGGATGAAGGCGCGCGTGTGCAGCAGCTGCCCCTCGCGGGAGAGGCACTCATGGGTGCTGTCGACGAAGATGGACGTCTGGCCGTGCGGCGACGGCCAACCGAGCACGAGCAGCGCGCTGCCTGCGGGGAAAGTTCCGGGAAGGGTCCGAGAGGGGTTCCGAGCAGAGCAGCGCGCTGCCTGCAGGGACGGCTCCGGGAAAGGTCGGGAAGGTTCCGAGAAGGGTCAGGGAGGGCGCCGAGAAGGACCGGCGAGGAAGGCGGCTGCATCTCGGCCACCTCTCGGCTACAGCGCTGCCGCTTGTCACGGCGGAGGGCGTTCCGAGCCTCAGCGCGCTGCGGAACGGAGGCAGCGCCTCGGTCGCCTCGGAAGCGATCGCGTACCTTGCAGCGACGCCGACGAACGATTCGGGCGTCATCGTGAGCTCGCCTCGCAGCCGGATCACGGCGAGATCGAGCAGCCGCCGCCTCTCGTCCCTCTCGACCTGTCGAGCAGCCGCGTCTTCTCTGCCCCAGCCTTCTTGCACTCGCTCGACCACGCTCGAGCGGCCGAGAGCTCAACGCGTGGGACGGCATCGCTCGAGCGGCTGCAGCTGTACCTCGGTTGTACCTCGGCGATCTCTTGGCACCTCTCGTCTACATCTCGTCTACATCTCGTCTGCATCTCGTCTGCATCTCGGCTGTATCTCGGCTGTATCTCGGCTGTATCTCAGCTATGTCTCGACCAGCCGCTCGAGCGGCGTCTGCAGCTCCGCCCAGTACGCCCAGCGCGACGGCGCCTGCTCGGGCGCCACAGACAACTCACAGACATGTGACATGCACAATGATCGTGGCACGTGGGCCCAGCGCGACGGCGCCGCGTCATCGACATACACGCCCACCGCGACTAACACCTCGCTCGGCGCAAAGCCATGGAAGAGCGCGCCCGACCGCGCGCTCACAAAGAGGTGTGCCGCCTATAGGAAGAGGCAGACTCCCCAGGGTGGGCGACGGCTAGCGCACCACACTCCTCTCCTTAAACTCCCTGTGTGGTGGCGGCGTGCCGTCCTCCCCTCCCTCCCTTGGGCTGCCTGTTCTCTTTCTTCCTTTCTTTCTTTCTAGGTGCGCCGCCGTGAGCACGTGGCCGTCGCGCGAGACGAGGCAGCCCGAGCCTGGAGTCAGGCAGGAGCGACTCACTGCGACTGGCTCTCTCACTGGCTCGGCGGGGCCGAGGCGGCCCGAGCCAGCCGTCAGCACGACGCCACTGTCGCGCCGCAACACCACGACGCGGACGGTGGCGCGCTTGGCGGGGGAGAGATTGGGAAGAACGCGCACGGTCGCCACGCCGCCACCCTCGCCGCCGCCGCCCTCGCCGCCGCCGCCCTCGCCGCCGCCGCCCTCGCCGCCGCCCGTCGCCCCCCGCGCGTCCCGCCTCCGCTTCGTCGGACGAGTCGAGTATGGCGCTGCAGGCGGCTCGCGCCGCACAGGGCGGGAGCGGCCGGGGCCGTCGTCGCGCACCTGGGCCAGGGTTAGGGTTAGGGTGAGGGTTAGGGTTAGGGTGAGGGTGAGGGTCAGGGTCAGGGTTAGGGTTAGAGGTTCACCTGCTTCATCTGCCGCAAGTCGAGCACCCGCTCGCCGTCGAGCCGCACCCTCTCCTCCGCCAGCTGGTAGGCGCGCTCGATCAGAGCCTCTTGGTGGGGAGCGTAGCGCGACCAGGCGCGCGACGCGCCTTTGCCGATCTGCCAGAACCACTCCGCGAGCGGCGTCTCGCCAGCCGAGGCGGAGGAGGCGGCGGAGGACGCGCGCGCAGGCAGCGGAGAGAGACAGACGGTGCCCTCCGCGCGCTTGCACTGTGGCGCGTCCACGCGGAAGATGAACTTGTCGCAGCGGGTGCTGCTCTGCCTGCCTCCGCCAAAGCGGAGCACATCGCCGTCGCAGAGGCTGACGGGCGGCGGCGGCGGCTTGCCGGCGAGCGCGATGTGCGCGGACTCGTTGACAAACGTGAAGACGTTGCTCGAGGTGACGCGGAGCTCGAGCGAGCCCTGGTTGAAGCGGAGCTCGGCGTGCCGTTTCGACACCGCGTTGTCGTCCAAAAGGAGCGTGCACGAGCCAAGCTGCTCCGTCCGGCCGACGGAGAGAGCGCCCTCTCCCTCGGGCGGCACGGTCACCGCGGTTCCAGGCGAGCCGTCCACGAGACGCACCAGCCGAGCGGGCGCCACGTCGTCGCCGCCGCCGCCGTCGCCCTCTGAGTCGTCGTCGTCATCGGCGCACCGCTGGGTGCACTGGCTCAGCTGCGTGCAGTCCGGCTGGCTCAGCTGCGTGCAGTCCGGCTGGCTCATTCGCAGCAAAGCGCGCGGCCTACTCGTTGCGTGCGTGGCCCGCGGCGCGGCGGCGGCGGCAGCAAAACACACACCTCCTGGAGCGGGCGCGCGTTCTGCGCTCGTCTCCGGTAAGGTGGTGCCGCAGCTGCTGGCCCAGGACGTCGGCAACGTCGCGGCGCTGCTCGAGGCGGTCGCCGAGGACGGCCTCGAGGGGCTCGGCCTCGGCAAGACCGTGCAACGTCAGCTGTGCCGCTGCCTGCCGGCCCTGAACAGCTGCGACGCGGCTGAGGCGGCTTTGTCATCCTTTGCCTCCCTGTCTCTGGTCGAGCCCCCGCTTGGGGCTGCGACTGGCGCGCAGGCGGGCGGCAGCGCGATGGCCGGCGGCGATGGTGCTGCTGGCGAGCGCGCTGGCGGCGGCGGCGGTACGGACGCTGCCGAGGGTGCCGCGCGTGCCGCAGACGGGCATGCGATTGCCGCAAGCGGCCCCCGCGGCGGAGCTGGGAGTGGCTCCGCTGGCGAGGAGCACGGCGGCGGGGCCGCGGCTGGCGGCGAGGGCCGCGGCGGCGCGCGCCCCAAAGAGGCGGACAGCGGCGCCTGCAGTGCGCAGGCCGCGGAAGGCGGAACCGGAGGCGGCGCCCCGGGGGCCTATATGGACCCCGTGGCGCCCGCGCTGCCGGCTAGCGGCGATGGGACGATTGCCGCCGCGGGGGGGGAGGAGGAGGTGGAGGGCGCCGCTGCCGCCGCCGAGGCGGGCCGCCGCGCTCCGAAGACCCTAATTGTTGCCGATCCTTCAGCGACGCGCCATACCGACACCGGGCACAGTTCGCAGCCACTTGCTGCGTCCGCCGAGGGCGGCGGCAAAAGCCGCGCTGGTCAAACGGCCGTTCTCAGAAATGTGCGCCGCCAAGACACGTCGCGCCGTCGCCTCATCCACCTGGTCTGCTCCGTCTGCTCCAATTTTACTGCGCGCTGCCTCGAGGAAGTCCCCCAGGTTCGCTTCCAGCTGAAGCTTTCGGTCGTGAACCCAAGCTGGACGTCCTGTGGCGCACTGCTCAGTGCTGGCCTGGAACCAAATGATGAGAGAGTAGCGCTCACAGCCTGGACTCGATGGCTCGCACGAGAGAGAGACACCGTGCAGCAGCTCATACGTGTGCGCAACCGCATCGCCGGCCAGCATTCCCGTGTACCTGCGGGCAGACTGATCGCGTCCATCCTGCACGTACAGGCCGCCACTGGCTGGCGCCGGCTCAGCGGGATGGAGCTCGATGACGAGCGTCAATGCGGCGTCCTGGTCGCGATGCGCAGGTACCTCCATGCGCTCGTCCGGTCTGTATCGTCTAACCAAGGTTGTGCACTGCACACACTTGCTGCAGTTGAAGGCGTGCAAGACTGGTGGCACGCACGCATGCACGCGCGCAGCGACCACCGCAAGCAACTCCTCCCAGGCCACGTCTTCAACGACGCCATCTTTGAGGAGGTAGCGCTCATATGCCGTCTTGTTGTCCGTCGAGCACGTCGCTGACGTGTCTACTCCCTGCTGCTCGACTTGCTGGATGATCAAATCCGCCTCGGCCGGAGTGAATAGTCCTGTGGCACTGTAGACGTGCGCCGGACGACTGTGCGCGTATGAGTTTTGGAACACTTGCCCTTGCCAGGCTGGGCACACATCAGCGAGGTCCTGATGGGAGGGTCTCGACCGCCAGCCTCGGAAGAGCTCTATGCACGGTGCATTCTCCACGTCCACTGCGATGCGGTAGGGCGTGCGGCCCTCGCCGTCCTTGAGATCGAGCGATGCGCCGCCTTCGAGCAGGACGCCAGCAACGTCGCAGTCACGGCGTGGCCGTGCAGCTGAGATGTGGAGCGCCGTGCTCTCGTGCGTGGGCTCAACTGCGTCAAGCAAAGCACCGTGCTGCAGCAGCAAGCGAGTCACCTCTGCGCTGCCGCCGAGCGCAGCCAGATGCAGCGGCGCCATGCCCTGGGCGTCTGCTCGCGTCGCCGAGGCGTGGTGCTGTAGCAGCAGTCGCGCAGCTGCTGCGCGCCCTTTCACGGCGGCGACGTGCAGCGGACTCAAGCCTCGTGCGTCGAGCACGTCCACGTCTTCGCTTTCCGCGAGCAGCCTCTTCAAGGCGGCGGCGTCGTCTCGCTGAGCAGCCGCGTGTAGTGGGGTGGCGCAAACGGCAGAGGAGGCGAGCAGAAGCAAGAACCACGCGAACGTGAGCACCAAATATTTTGAGTCTAAGGCTGCGGGGGACATAGGTGCAGGCGGCCTTGCGAAGCTTCACTCTTAGGTACCTCTGAGGTGCCCTTCCACCTTTGGTTTTCTTTGAAGTGTCCTCGGGGCGCAAGAGGTGGCCTGTGAGCCTTCCTCTCTCTCCGGCTGCGCGCCTGACCGGTGCGGCCTCCGAGTCGGCGTCTAGCGCGCGCGATAAGGTTTTTGCTCGCCTTCCCTGGGATCCCGTGTTGCGTGACTCTGTGCGATTTCCGGGCCCGGGGTTGTGCGTTTAACGTGGTCGACGGCTCGTCATCGAGCTTCACCCCAACAACCTCCGAATTCCTCGTGATCTCGTTCAAGGCAGGGCATGGTGCAGTACTCGCCGATTCATCGAGGGCTGGATGGCGTGGGACAAAGACGGAGAGACGAGGAACCGGGTTTGCTACAGGCGAGGACAATTCGCACTCTTCGCAGGGCGCCGGTACCTCCGAGAAGCGTCGCGTTTTGCTACTCGTAGAACGCCATCTGGACGCTTTTGCCGGCTTCACCGGAGCTAGCTTTGAGCAGCGACATATGGCGACCCTGCTCGACGGCGAGACGCTCACGACCGCTACGCTGCACGAGCTTGGCGAGAAGCAGCGCGGTAGCGTTGCCCTCGACCCCACCGCCAAGGCCCGCGTCGAGGCGAGCCGCGAGATCGTCGACCGCATTGTGAGCACGGATGAGGTCGTCTACGGGATCAACACTGGATTTGGCCTCTTCTCCAACGTGACGGTCTCGGCGGACAAGCTTTGCGCACTGCAGGACAACTTGATCCGCTCGCACTCGGCCGGCTGCGGCGAGCCGCTCACGCGTGAGCGGTCTCGCCGGCTGTTGGCCCTTCGGATCAATGTGCTCGCCAAGGGCCACTCGGTGTGCATTGCGCCGCCCACCATACGTACCGCACGCGCGCACCGGCACCACGCTTCCGCTCAGGCCGCAGTCCATCGCGCACATCGACCGTAGCGGTCTCGCCTGGCGGCACTCCTCACCCTGCGCACCTCTTGCGCCTTTCCGCAGGGCATCCGCGCCGAAGTACTCGAGCAGATGATTGCCGCCTTCAACGCGGACTGCATCCCGGTGGTGCCGAGCAAGGGGACGGTCGGCGCGAGCGGCGATCTCGCGCCCCTCTCGCACATCGCCCTCGGCCTCATGGGCGAGGGAGACATGTGGGACCCGCAGGGCGGCATCGCGCCCGCCGCAGAGGTGCTCGCGAGGGCCAACCTGACCCCGATCCGGCTCGGCGCCAAGGAGGGGCTCGCGATGATCAACGGGACGCAGCTCATCGCATCGCTCGGCGCAGAGGCGGTCGAGCGCGCCGGCCGCGCCGCGCGCCTCGCAGACTACATCGCCGCCCTCTCGCTCGAGGTGCTCTGCGGCACCAACCGTGCGTTTGACCCGCTCATCCACTGCGTGCGGCCGCACTCGGGGCAGATGGAGTCGGCGGCGCGCGTGCGGTCGGTGCTGATGCCGACCGCCCCGTCCGAGCTCTGCATGTCGCACCCCAAGCAGGTCCAGGACGCGTACTCGCTGCGGTGCGTGCCGCAAGTGCACGGCATCACGCAGGTGCCCAGAGGCGGGGGAGGGAAGAGAGCGTCCCCATCGTCGCCTCATCGCCTCCACACGCGCCATCGCCTAGCTGCCTTTCCCGCACCCGCGCCCCTCCCCGTCCCTCCCGTCTGACGGCTCGTGACGACCTCCCTCGCTTGCAGGACACCATCGAGTTTGTGCGGCGCATCCTCAACACCGAGCTCAACTCCGCCACCGACAACCCAATGGTCTTCACGCAGGAGCAGGTCGACGCCTCCGAGTCCCTCCGCACGTCGGATGGCGATCGGATTGCCTGCAAGGACGCGCCCGGTGGAAACGGCCGCAAGGGCGACGGCCAGGACATCAAGGCTGCGGACGCGTCGCCGCCGCCCGCTACCGCGAACGCCGGAGCCAAGCCCGTCGACCCGCTCGAGGCCGCCAACCGCAAGATCGCCGCGCTCGAGCGGCAAGCCGGCTGCGAGGGCTGCCTCACTCTGATTGGGCGCGGCCGCTGACGCGCCCGCTGCTCTGTCCCCGTAGGCAGCTCGAGCAGGAGCGGCAGGAGAAGCGGGCGGGCGGGCCGGGCTGGTCCTTCTTCAAGAAGGACACTGACACGCGCCGCTCGATCGAGGGCGGCGGGCTCATCATCTCGGGCGGCAACTTCCACGGCGAGTACCCCGCCAAGGTGCTCGACTTCCTCGCAATCGCCGTCACCGAGATTGCAAACATCGCCGAGCGCCGCATCGAGCGGCTGTGCAACCCGTCGCTCTCGGGCCTACCCGCCTTTCTCGTCGCGGACGGCGGCTTCAACTCGGGCTTCATGATCGCGCACTGCACGGCCGCGGCGCTCGCTTCGGAGAACAAGGTGCTTTGCCACCCCTCCTCGGTTGACACCATCTCGACTTCGGCCGCCAAGGAGGACCACGTGAGCATGGGCGGCTTCGCGGCGCGCAAGGCGCTCGAGGTGGTGCAGAACGTCGAGACGGTGCTGGCGATCGAGCTGCTGGCGGCGTGCCAGGGCCTCGAGTTCCACCGCCCGCTCAAGACGACCAAGCCGCTCGAGAACCTGCACGCGCTCGTGCGCAAGCACGTGCGGCCGTGGGACGGCGACCGGCAGATGTCGCCCGACATCGAGGCGGCGCTGCGGCTGGTGCAAAGTGGCGAGGCGCTGCGGGCCGTGGAGCAGGGCCTCGGCGCATAGGCACGAGGGGCGCGTGCAACGTGCGATGTGCGAGCAGATGTGGCGGCCTTCCCTGTCGTCGGCGCCACGATGCTCTCCTGTTCACCCCTCCCTGCGGGACCCCAGTGGGGACCTCGGCCCGCTGCGCCGCGCAAACAGGGACTACGTTTAGCCTAGATCTTTGCGGGACCCCAGTGGGGACCTCGGCCTCGCAGGCCGCTCAAACAGGGATTACGTTGTTCCCCTTTCTTCAAAAGTTGGTACAATTCCCGGTTCGCTGTGTGTGCTGACCGCGCCCCGCTCCGCCCGCGGTCCGCGGCGCGCAGTCCGCAGTGGCGCCGCGGCTGGTGTGCGGTGCCGCCTGTGCGGCAGGGGGCAGGCGCTGTGGGTCGGCGAGCACACATTTTCATTTAAACCGCCCGGACGGCTTCTGACACTCCCGCGCGCGCCACTCGCTCGCGTGGGGCCGTGGCAAGGGGCCCGCGCGGCCATGCCCTGACCGCTCGGGGCAAGGGCAAGGCCAAGCTGCTACGAGGGTCGGGCCGGGGCTTGCACTTTGAATGCCGTGGGGCTCCTGCCCGTGTCCGGGCGTGGAGATGCGAGGGTCGCCCCCCCTTGCCCCACCACCTTGTGTGTGTGGAGAGACGTTTACCTTACCTTACCTTACCTTTCCTTACGCTTACCGGCGTTACCGGCCCGGGGAGCCTGACGCTGTCGCTGAGAGCGCGTCGGCACCGGCGGCGCAGCGGCGGAGGTATCGCACGGCATGCTGGTCGCGCCCTGCGCCTATGGTGAACGCGAAGCGAATCTCCCCCTAACCGGCTGGTCTGGAGCACATGGTGAGTATTCTTGTATCTTGATATAAAAAACGATTTCTTTTGAGCTAGCCTTCGAAACGAGCGACGCGCGCGGGCGTCCAGCTCAAACACTGCCGCGAGGCTCAGGCCGGCATGGCTCGCAGGCGGCGTAGCTCGGCACGCTTTGGCCTGTGGACCGACAGCGTCCGATCTCCTGGCGCGGACCTGGCCGTCGTGGCCGCGGTTGGCGGCAAATCACGGGGGAGCGACTTTTGCTCACGACTTCTCTTCTGGCTCATACCAGTCATGCTGTCACTTACCTGCCAGCCCATCCTCGCGTCGCTCAGGTAGCACGGGCGGACATATGTGCATATGCGGTGCAGAGTAGCTGCTGCTCCAGCATTCTGGTGACGGACGGCGTCTCCAGCTAAGGGTGAACTGGCGCGCGGTGTGGAGAGGAGTGTGTTCATGACGTGTGAGTGACTCGTGTTGACTGCAGTGCGTGAGTGGGAGTGCCCGCGCCTCAAGTGCTAGCGCGGCAGCTTGTATTGATCGCTCGGTGCGCGCGCACATCCGCCCGGAGTGGCCGGTTTGACCATTTTTCGGCATACGGCTCTATTTGCAAGCCTCTGGGAAGAGAGATTGAGGCGCGACGTGGATGAGCTCGCTGTGCGATTTGCTACATTAAGAAACACGGTCCGACTGTACAAGGAACCCACACGGCCATACGCCAACACTCGCCGTGCTGGCAAAATTACCGTTTCATCAGGCCCCACAAACGACTACGGACTATACCCCGCGTCGCGCGGCGGAGGGACCGAGCCGACATCGACCGACAGCGGTCCCCCGGTGGTCCGCCGGTCCCGGGCTAGCATCGGGGGAACAGGGGGGCAGGGCCTCGTGCGGCAGGGGCCAGAGCGCCCTAGGTGTGGCGCTGCACTGACAGACATGCTCATGCCCCGGCGTGGGTGCGGCGCCCTCTGGGAGGGACTGCGCAGCGGCCGCGGGCCGTAGAACCGCTGCCAGATCCGCCGACCGGTCGTCATGCCTTCAAGAGCCGCCCGCGTCGCGCGCGTCTCAGGCTCGAGTTCACGCGACGGCCGGCAAACGCTCGGCGCTGCGCGCGGCGGCTTCTGGGTTTGGGTACTGTGGGGGTATGGGGTGGGTGGGGGTACCGTGGGGGTAGGGGATGCTGCGAGCGGCGGCTTCCGCGTCGCGCGGGCGGCGTTGCACGCGGTCGCGCGCCATGCCCCAGGTGCGCGTGCCGGACATCTCGCCGTAGTGGCCAAAGGTGGCGTTGGTTTTCTTGACGATGTGGAGGGGCACGCCGTCCACGTCGGCCGGCGCCTCGAGCCTACCAGGGGCCCGCCCAGCCCTCCGTGCGTCTCAGTTGAGTGTGAATGGGGGACTGGCGGAGTGGACCAAACACCCCCGATGGCCGGGAGATGTCCCACGGTCCCGGAGTGGCTGCTGCTGCGGCTGCTGCTGCTGCTGCTGCTGCTGCTGCTGCTGCTGCTGCTGCCGCTGCTGCTGCTGCTGCTGCTGCTGCTGCTGCTGCTGCTGCTGGTACCTCCGGTCCACACGGGTACCCCCGTGCTAGGACAAGGAGGCCCCACGGTGTGCACGGCGTCTCCACACTAGGCGAGTCACACATGCACATGCACATTGGTTCGACTACACGGATGCGTCTTCTTCCGCTTCTAGAGCGGCGAGCCCGAGAGCCTCGTCGCCCCACAGGCAGTCGGCGAGGGCGATGTAGCCCGCCTGTGGGGAGATGTG